CGTAATTCTCAAAACACACACAAGATGGCGGCGTTTATCGGTGAACCCGATATTACAAAACCGATAACCGATTATGGTAAAATGCTTAAATATCGGGGAAAATATCGGTAAATCGATATATCGGTCGATCTCTAGTTAGCTGTCAAGACTGACAGAATTACATTAGACCAGGCATGGGGACCCTGATCCATGGAGAGATGGCGCGGGATTTTGGGGTGACCTCTCAATCGGCCAATAACAGTGGGTCCCCAGCACTGCATGGTGTTGAGAACCACTGCTTTATTATTGGCTGATTGAGAGGTCATCCCAAAAACCTGCACCCACAGTTACTTTCCATGGATCAGGTGTGCCACCCCTGCATTAAACAATTATCCAGAGGTTTTCTAACACACAATTTTTCAACCTTCTTAGGAAACTAGCATTTATTTCAGCTGCAATGGTTTTTCAAGGAAGGACATTGATTCAGATTAATAAGTATTTATCTTGATTAATAAACAAACAAAAAAAACTTTATAAAAAATTATTGTCAGAAATTAATCATTATTTATGTTTACAATATAATATGATACAATTTCTCTAAATCTCCCGTGCCTGTGTGGGTCCCATCCAGATTCTCTGGGTTCCTGCTGCTGTCCAAAACAATGCTTAAGTGAACTGGTGTCTCCAAGTGGCCCATAGTGTGACAGTGAGTCTCTGTGTGTGTGTGTGTGTGTGTGTGTCTGTGTGTGTGTGCGTGTGTGTGTACATTGTGCCGAATCCTTTGAGCCCAGCATGATTGATAGACATGATACAAGTTTTCACTGTATATATTCAGCATATTAATACATTTGTCTCACTATCGTCACCCATTTTCTAAGCTTTGAGGCTATTTTTCCATGCAGTTTATCATTCAGACCAAATCCATGCATTATTCATTTGTCCTTTTTGCTTAAAAAGAGGGAAAAAAGATCAGAGACCCAGGGTCCTCTTCATTTATTTATGTCACATCACTTCAGGGCTGTTTCCAGCTCTGTGAAAGGAGTCGCTGGATTTAGCCGAATTCATGTATTATCGCAGATGTTCTCCATTGCAGGGTAAGTCCGCATGTATAAAAGGTACTAAGAGAATTTAAATTGGCCTACTGACAAGTTATCATCAAAGCTATTTCTAACCCATATTGTGTGGGATTATGAATAACAGCTTTGTGGAAAATATATACAGGTATATAGAATAATCACTTCTTTCTCCCAAAACGATAACAAAGTTCATGATATCGATACCCAAACAAAACAATTCCATGGCCCTATATTTTCTTTTTTTTCATTTAATGAATAAATAGTTCAATTAAGTCGCCTTCCTTCGTGCATATTTTGTTCGCTAGAACTGATACTGCACCCAACAGATCTCCTAGGATCACCTATAAAAACAATTAATGAGAAGAAAGAAGATTTTCACAGAGGACGTACAGTATTCAACTATAGTGAAGGAAAATCAGATCATGGATCTCCGGATTGATTTAACGCACATGCCAATCATTCAAGCCTAATTGAATGTGCTTTGTTCTTTCCCTTAATTTGTGAGCAGTTTGCCTATGTGACTGAGGCATATGTCTCAGTTTAATTTTTTATTCTCTTGTCTTTCTTTGATCGCATTAATTGCCAGTCCCTTACAAACAGACGGGAAAACCCGTCTGTATAAAAAATATATTCCGCACCCCACACCTGTGCCACGTTTTTCTTGCCGGCGAGAGTTTCGCCGCTTGCATCTCCGATTTCAAACTACACGCGGTTCACCTTCATTTTTTTGTTGTTGTATCGTGAAACGCATAATAACCGTTTAATGCTATTACTTAATTAGTGCTTATGGTTTTCAAAGAGTAGCAGTACTAACTATACATAAACCGTTTGTATACTTGAAGGTCGAAGCACAAACATTTTCAGAGGAAAGCGATGCAGCTGTTGATCAGAAACTGATTCTAGTTTTTTTTTTTGCAATGGCAAATAATGCGACTTAAAAACAAAGTAAAAAGGTAAATAGATAAATAAATATTTTAATGATTACAGAGGAAGAACTTTACTTTTTCCTTTACATTTATTAACTTATGTTTAGGGAAGTTATTATTTGGTGTTTTTACCTTGCTAATTAGCTGTTGAACTTTTCTTACCCTGCGTAACTTACTGTAAATGCAGAAAGAGAAAACCCAACCGCAGCTCGTGTACACGGTAATAATGTGAAATGAATCGAAGGGTCTATTTTAGAAGTCCTGACCTTTATCTTTAAAACCAGTATTTTACATTAAAAGTAAAGTAAATAGCCCAAGTTAACAATTGTATAGAAACAGTACGCCGCATAGATAGATAGATAGATAGATAGATAGATAGATAGATAGATAGATAGATAGATAGATAATTGATTTTATATTAGGAAACAATGTAACTTGGCCACAGTTTTAAGTATACCCTGCACCTTGACCAATACGAAATAATGAACATGTTTAATGTAAACATTCTTATAAATATAAGGAATTAATATGAGTAGAATTGCAGTCTCTCACAGTTACTGTCCGTGTGACGTAGATGAATAAATGTACCTGCACTCGGACTTTGAGAAAGCCTCCCACCTTCATCCCATCCCCTTCTTCTGCTTGTCAGAGTTACTGAGGTGCTACCTACCCTACTGACGTCATAAAATGCGTCCAAATGACTACCCAGGCAGAGCGAATTACTAACAATAAACTTCTTTTTGTTGCGGGTGCTGGTATTATGGCTCTCGCTGCTTTTTACTGAGAGCTTAAATGCATTCTCTTTTTGAAAACGTCTTTTGAAATACCACTTACCAGGTGACTCATCCATCAGTCTCAGTATCCCGTCATCACTCTCTCGCTTTCTCCTCCGGCTGGCACGTGATGCAGCCGGCTTGTTTTTACAACCCTTCAAACCTCTTTGTTCTGGATATCTGTTCAGTGTAGCAAATGCCAGCCTAGATCTTCTCTAAGTGGTCTTCATTATATAAAGAAGTGGGCGTGCATTGTCCCTTTGGAGTTTAGCTTTTGCACCAGCACAAAGGGTCAGTAGACTGGTCTGCCTTTCTCTGATAGCTATACAGTATGTTTGATGGGGTCATAGAAGTCACCCAGTAAATCAATGCTCCCAAAATGTAACCCAGCCTCTCTTCTAAGCTCTGCATGCTAATTGCAGGTGTTGGTGCGGTGGGCAGGTCTGTACAGGTTAGATTTGGATTGTTACCGAACTTTTGATTTTGATAAGGATACAAGCTTTAGTACCTTGATATCAATAATCTTTACAGTATCTAAATTTCCGTAATTCTGTGGTACATTGTATTTAAAAACAAAATTCTATTCCAGCATAGAATTCGGCAAAGTGTGTGTGTGTTTGGGGCAGGGGGCGGGGGGGGGGGTTGGTCCAAATTGACAACCCACACCATTCCCGCTCATTTTGTTACCAAGAATAAAGAGATATACCCAAAAGGTCATAATCATGATAACCTACAGTTAAACACCCCTATTTAAAATACTGTTTTTAAATAAACAGGCCTGATTGTGAAATAAGCCAAAAGCAATAGCCTACTGTATAGTTTTAACATTTTCATTGAAACCTACATAGATTAAATTCCATTCAATACATAGATTCTGTTATTAATTTGGCCTTAGCTGTTACAAAACCTAATTGATGCTAGAGTCATGTTAGCTTTGTGTCCTGTTAGCCATTTAGCCAAGCCTACTTTTCCTAACCGGGGAAAGCGATATAAATGCATTGTAATTATGCACACCTAAGAATCTGTAAACTCATTATATAAATAGGGTGACCGGATAATCCAGGACACTTTGAGCTAAGACAGGGTTTATGCAAGCTACCATTTCAATTAAAAGGACTTGAATTTCACAGCACTGAGTTCATGGTTTGTGCTGATTGGTCAGTTTTCCTATAATCATGCAAATGTCACTAATGTGAAACAGCTGGATGAGTCTTTCAATCGCGGAAACAAAAGCGCAAGAAGACCTGAATTATTTAGACAAGTACAGGAGTCTTTCAGTTTTAAAATAGTTTGTAAATCCTGAAGTGTCCTCACTGACATGAATTATCTTGTCAGTCTATATATAAATCAAGGTGAGCGAGGGACAAATGTTCCTCCCGGTTAGACTTGTTGCCCACTTGTAGTCCGTTCTTCAGGTTCACCCTTTTTGTTCAGCTTGAAACTAAAATGACATCTTATCTCACTCCTGCCGCCCTGTTTATCAATCATAGGCACCAGCTGCTTCCATCTTCCATCCATGTAGCATTTTGGCATAGGACACACGTGAAATGAGGGCTCCTGTGTCTCTCTGCTATTTGACGTAAGTTCTTAAATATCTATATTTGTAAAATGATAGAATTGTAATGTTTTAAATTTCTGGTATTGCGATATGATACTGATACGGGTACATCAAACAAAGCTAGTACAAGTTTGTGGATAGTATTCTGATTACAGTACCTTTACATCTGCTTATTTAGCACATGCTTTAGCTGAAAGTGAAAACTTTGGGTCAGAGAACAGGGGTCAGACAGTGTGGAAAAAGTTTGAGTTAAGGGCTTTGCTGAAGCTTCCAGTAGCGATCTTATTGCTCTGCCAGCCATAGGGTTTGAACCCATAACCTTCTGGACAGAAGCACAGATCCATAATCCGCAGTGTTACATAACACTCTGATAATTTGCATATCCCATCTTGCACTTTAAGCTTGAAAACTCTCTGTATATAGGAAAGCACCGGCATGCCAGGCTACATCTGTACTGCAGTGCACTGAAACTCTGAGAAATCTACTTTTTTTTCTGAGAAATTTGTATTTTTTAATGAGTTCTCACCTTTGATACTGATATTTGAGGCTGTAAGTTTTACCCCAAACACACAAATGTAAGATCAGCACCTTACCTAGACTAATAGCATATGCCCATTTTTTATGGATTTTTATAGAAAAGTTTTTGAATGATAGTCTTCTTTTAACAATTTTGACTAATTACTGTTTCAAGATCCAGATGGACAAGAAACCAAACATCTGCATTAAATATTTATTACAAAAAATTACTAATTATTTGATGACTGTGATGGATTCTTAAACTGTGCACCTTTGACCGAAATATATCTCAGAATGCAATAGTAAATCTTTGACTTTAAAACACTATAAACAGACTATAATTAATTACTTTGAATTCATGAGCCATTTTAAATCAAAATGCAATTGTATGCATATATTGTATCTGTGGGATGACGAAGGCAGATAAACAATGCAAAGATAACAGAAGCATTTACTATAAATAAAAGATGTAACATTTCCCAAACACAAAGAGAAACAAACACAATAGAACAAGGGCACTTAAAACAGAAAATTAACCAAAAAAAGGCAATACAGCTGACTTAAAGAGAAAAGATATAAAGATTGGGGGGGGGGGGTATTTTGTCCACCTCCTACCCCCACTCAGCCTAGCAAGATCTTTCTCCCAGTCAATTCAATAAAACCCAAATATGTGTCCTTAAAGGAAGGTCTACTAGGCTGGAATCACTCTACGCAGAAATGCAGTGCTTTTTTTGTTTGTTTGCTTGTTTGTTTTCATCTGCCTTTCGCCAGCTCATAACATCGTTTAGTTTTGTTCAGGCCCCAGCTGGTGCTCTTGCAGTGGTAGATGATTTCTGTTGTCACTGAAGGCCCAGTCTTGTGATAATGAATGTATGAAGCCTTCAGTCTGCAGAGGGCTCCCATATCTCATTTACACTGCTGGGGGGTGATATTAATGCACCTCCCATCTCCTTATATCTTTTACTGAGATGCCTGTGAATTACTATTACTATGTTGTTTGCTGTTACTGTTGCAATAATATGAAATCAGCGTACAGGGTAGAAAAATACATTTTGATAATTATGTGCCACTTTCATTTTAAAAAATGTTCTTTTCTTTCGGGACCTATGGGAATGACACAGATGAAGAAATGCATGGATGTTTGTTTATTCACCTCTTAAAGCAAATTGGTACTTTGACCGATCAGGTAATTGCTTTAAAACAGCCCATTGTTTTCCGCGAAGCCAAACATTGAACACAGTGATAAAGGTGTGTGACGCGAATGTGATTTAGGTGGCACAGCTTCCGCTGTAGCGTCACACTTTCCAGGTATGTGTGTGTAGCGTGTGATGGACAAGCTTCCCATCCACGATGCCCCCTGCCTTGTGCGCTGGCCTTCCTGGGCCCAGGCCATCCCATCACCCAATGCTGGCGTGTAAGATGGATACAAATCAAGACTTAAAATCAGTTGCATTCATCAAAACAGGCAGTCTGCATAACATGCACTAAAACCACAATCCTGAAATACACAAAATGGGTTTATAATATTCAGAACCACTGTGTCTACAATACATTAAACAGTTTTACTGTATTATTTCTTTAGTAATAGCTACATATTTACGTCTCATTTGGTTTGTCTAAATCAGCTAGAGTAAAAGCAAACACATCCATTCACTCGTTAATTACGTTATTTCTTGTTGCTTATCTGATTAAACCCATTCAGTACGCTTCCTTTGCTTTCCCAGTTCTGACTGCTATAAGCTGTATTAAATGCCTGGTTAAAACACAGCTTGATTTAATATCCAAGGCATTTTCAGGACATGGAAATGCCGGCTAAGAGGCTCTGGGGTGGCTCCTGGATCCTAGGCCAGGGAAGAGCTGGGGCACGTGCTGCATGGGATGCTGGTCCATCACAGGACAGGGACAAGATGAAAGGACAGATGAAAATGAAGGTTTGTTGCATTAATAATTTACATAAATGAGAATTCCTGGGTTGTTTAGTATATCTTAAAGTAATAGATTGATAAAAAATAAAAAGGATTGTTCAAGTATTCAAGGAACTGCATATTTAATAAGAAATTTAAAAAATCCCTTCCATGTATAACATGCACATTCATGCACATTACATGTACATTACATGTACATTAACAGTTATGGAGACTCCTGGATTTTTATAATGAAGAGCTGTTGGTTTCTAATTTATATGTGAAGACTTTATGCCCCCTGAAAACTGCCTTTCTTTTTTGTTTGCACTCCTGGCTGTCAGATTTCAATATATGCCAAGTTCAGTCAAGTTCGCTAATGCCTTCTTGTCCTTATCTTATAGTTCTTTGTGTTGAAATATCTTTGAAGACCAATTATATGGCTAGTGTAATTTGCCAAAATTTATCTATAAAGCAAGACAAAATGGAGCGCCATTCTAAGTGACCTTTAAATGTTTGAAGATCTGACAATCTCAAACCAGACTTATAAATGGATGCAATTATAGCACTCCCTTATCGTAAAAAAGTGACCTCTGGCGGCTGATAAGGTTACCGCACCACAAAAGTTACATTTTCCTTTCATACGTATTTCATGCATTGTACTGCGTCTTTACAATAAAAAAAATAACAACCTAACACAGCGTATCCTCATTCTGTTTATTTAGAAACGTGTCAAAAAGAGATACAGAGTTGCCTTCTTTTCGTTTTGTAACCTAGGGTATTATGAATGAATTATAATGAAAGAATTAAAAAAAAAACATCTGATTTGTTGACAGAATGTATCCTGAGAAGACGCCAATGAATGCTGAGAATGTTTGCAAAAAAAATAATACAATCTATTCATGAATATGTATTGCTTATTAAAAAATGAAATTCAAACTAAATTTCATTAGTGACTGTGTGTGTGTGTGTGTGCGTGTGTGTGTGTGAACAGGTATACCTTTCCTTATGGGGACACAATGTTCCCATAACGTGATAAATATCCGTTTTTTTTCCTTTTCCCCATAAGGGAAAACTCTATTTTATAAAAATCAGTGACTGCTATGAAAAAACTACAAATGCAAAAACTCATGTATTTTGTTTGGTTACTTATGGGTATGGTTAGGGCTGGGTGGGGGTTAAGGTTGTCTTAGTTAGCGTTAGCATTTTTCCCATAGAAGTGAATGAGCGGTCCTCATAATGATAGATATACCCAACGTGTGTGTGTGTCAATTTTTTCAAATTTACTTCAGATATGCACATGATAGAAGAGGGCTGTTTTGTAGGGCTGAAATAAAATGTTTCTTTATGGCCCTGCTTGAGTTAACATGACTTAATGCCCATATAGAGAGAGACTCGCATTTGCTTTTCGTTCCAGAAAAGCTGAAGAGGCAGCAATGGCCTTAGTTGAGGAGCCACTGCTGTTTGAAGTGTTTCCTCAGGGTGCCTTTGATCAGGATGAAGGTGATGCACTGAGTGGGGAAACCACCCACAGCGCCAACCAACGCTAACCTGCCATGCAGATGGAAAACCGGGCACCACCCACAGTGCCAAACAACGCTAACCTGCCATGCAGATGGACTTTGGCTCTGGGCAGACAGATATTCTGTGACTGCTGGCCCTATTCAGGGTTGTGGGGGGTCCAGAGCCTATTGGCAGAAAGCAGGGAACAACCCAGAATGGGGCACCAACCCACCGCAGGGCACATACTAACACAGCATTCATTCACACTCACACACACACAAATGGGCAATTTCGTAACACCAATTAATACTCACATTAATACTCACATAATACTCACATACTCACACAGCATTCATTCACACTCACACACACACAAATGGGCAATTTGGTAACACCAATTAACCTCAGCATGTTTTTAGATTATGGGGGGAAACCAGAGAACCTTGAGGGAACCCTACAGAGAGCCCTGATGGAGACTCGAACCCAGGTCTCAGAGGTGTGAGGTGACAGCACTAACCGATGCACCACCGTGCCCCCCCCCAGAATGGAACATATTCATTATTATTAATAATTAGTATTATACTTGTTGTTTTTTTGAAGTAACAATTTGCAGTCTTGTACAACTAGATATCTGAGTGGTGTGAAACAGATTAAGCACCTCATTCAAACACTGAACAGTACGGCTGAGGAAGAGGAGACCTTCAGGTCCAATTCTGTGCCACAAGCAGCATGTCATCCGTCACTGATGGTCACAGCCCATGTGAGGCCCTCAGCAAGCTCCAATGCCAGTACCCCCCCCCACCCCCTGGCAAACTTCCCCACCCAATTTCACTTTGTCTCAGAAACTGACAATAGAGGCTGTCTGGTGAATGTCAATTGCTAAAGAGGTTTATAATTTAGGTGCGCAGAAGCAAAAGGCTGCTTCTCCATTTTTTATTTTACATAACATCTGGAAGCTTTAGCAGCTCAGCACCAGGTGATCTTAAGGTCCTATATGGAATTTATTCTATCAGAAGCTCTGAGATATAAGCAGGTGCTTGTCCATTTAGAGCTTTAAAAACTAGTAATAGAATTTTAAGTTCTAAAAGAAACAGATAAACAGTGCAGTTTATCTGTTAAAATAAGTCCATGTTAGAAATGCATTCATGTTCTTTCTTTAGTGTACGTTTATTTTACTTGTGGTATATTTTTCAGATGGAAATAACCTCCCATCTGGCTGTGTTTCACAACTACTGATCGCTTCCTCTGTGAATGAATCACGTCGCGTTCATCGGTGTCTTATCGGCAATTAACCTCAGTCTGCTCTTGTCAAGTAAAGCGATTAAGCAGATGTCCCGGGCAAGGCTGATTCCACGCTGGCCTTGCAGATGTCTCAGTAAAATCTGTTACCCAAGATCGCAATCAACGGGATGGCGGATGGCCTGACATCGAATGTTTGGTAGCAGCTAGTGACGTGTCCTGGCTTGTCCCTTAACAGTGGCTCTCAAATGCTTTGTTATTAACAACACACCTATTCCCCACGATTCATTTCCAGCCCGATACCTTGGTCCAGTGAGAGCACATATTTGCAATGAGGATTTGTGTCTTCTATCTATACCTTCCTCTTTTCGGGAAATAAAATGACGCTGGACTGCAGCTGACCTCGCCGAGTCTCTTTGATGTAATAGCATGCCAGGTCTCTCTGTCTCCACTCAGACACCAATTGATAATAAGGTTGGCATCCTCCATTCTTTATATTTGCTTCTCTCCTTTTTCATCCATCAAGTCCAATAGGCTGTGATCGATTGTCGTATTTTCAATGCCCAACCATACTGAAATTGTACATTCCCATCTGATATTCATCGCAGTATTGCAATCATGGTGGAACCAAGACTTTCTTTGGATTTTGTTAATCAGTTTAGTATAAAAAGTCACAGTCACAGAGTACTCAACACAGAGTACACAGAGTACTCAACTGGTTGGTTGAAACAAAATCTTGGTCTGGATTTTTGCTTTCTGGATCTGGGCTGTCCACCTCTGAATCTGAAGCCTTGCCTGTGTCTGTGATGTCATTAATTGTTCTCTGCTCCTAGTAAAACCTCTGAGGAACAGGTGTGAGGGAAGAAGCCAGGTCCACTGTGTGGGGCCCAGGGAAAAATTATATTAGGTACACTGGGAATGGGATTACTAGTACCCCTTCTTGGAGCCTGGCCTGGTTAAGGGGTTCAGCAGTGAGCTCCTCAGCCAGTGCTGGGGAAGTTGTTTGCTGATAAGCACCTGCTGACTAGAACATCCAGAAATCCCAGGCAAATGTATCCCAAAAAATGCATACTTGAAGACATGTTGTGGGCTCACCTCATAAGTTTTGTTATCAGGGGCAATATCAGCCAAATACTGAGCCTGAGCTGGACAGTTCTGCTTGACATCCTATTGTCATCCTTTACTCTATTTCAGCAGTGTCATTCTTAGTATCCATTTGCTGCTAGATTAACATTGTCCATGTGAACTGTTATAAATAAAACACAAACATGGAGCAGGGACAGCATTCAAGCTCCCTCTCTTGGAGATATGGGAAAACGCTGTGCTCCCCTATATGCTTCAACAACATGTTATATTTTAATTGTTACATTTCCAGATGGAAGTTTGTTGTCTTTGTTGATAGTGGAAGTAACTGAATGTCAAAAAAGTGCACACCAGTTTTCTGGCTCTGTTCGCATGTATATTTCATGTCTATTACTACACTGCCACTGTAATCCCATATAATTATGTACACAGAAATACACTGTTTCTGTTTCCACTGGAATAGAATAAATGAATAAACATTTATGTAAATGTTTGCTGAAAATATAATTTCATAAATCATATTATACTGTTTATAATATATTTAACATTTGTCTGTTCTGGGGCAGAACGGTGGTGCAGTTGTTAGCACTGTTGTCTCACACCACTGGGACCAGGTTTTGTTTCTCCGCCAGGGTTCCATGCGTGTGGAGTTTGCAAGTTCTCCCCGTGTCATTGTGGGATTTCCTCTGGGTACCCCGGTTTCCCCCCACAGTTAGGGTGACCAGAAAATCCATGTCAGGGAGGACCCTCTGAGGCAGGACAGGAATTGTAGATTACCATTTCAATTATAAGGACCCGGATTTCACTTGAGCACTGAGTTCTTGCTGTGTGCTGATTGGTCAGTCTCCTATAATCATGCATGTGTCACTAATGCTAATATGAAACAGCTGGATGAGTCTTTCAGTAAAGGAAACAAACCAGTCAAAGCACAAGAAGAGCTGAACTATTTAGCCGAGCACAGAAGCCTTTCAGCTTGAAAGTAGTTTGTAAAACCCGATGTAGGTCCAAGTGTCCTCCCTGACATGGATTATCTGGTCACCCTACCCACAGTCCAAAAACATGCTTGAGTTAATTGGCGAGACAAAATCGTGTATATGTGAGTGGATAGATTCCGTCCCGACTGTGACCCTGAAAATGACAAGCGGTTACAGAAAATGGATGGATTTGTCTGTTCGGCACAAACACGGCAGACAAAACAACGTCTGTCCGGTGTCTTTCCCACACTTCCGGTTACATTGCGTCATTCAGATCGTCCCTGACAGATCTCCTCTGATTGGCTGCTGTAACTGTCCGTCTGGTCGAGAATCCGCCTCATATAACCACGTGACATCACTGGCAGGCGAGGCAGAAGTGACCCGGGTGTGTTTCCTGTTTCTGAAACAAACAAGCATTAAATAAAACACGGAGGCAAAAGCAGTAAAGCAACATATATCATAAGGAAGGTGTCATGGAGTCGTATGACATTATCGCCAATCAGCCTGTTGTAATTGATAATGTAAGTAGCTTGTTGCAGAATTCAAAGTGCTCTCCCACGCTCTTACTAAAGGGGGCTATCTGACTAGCTATTGTGTTGCTTTTGTCTCATTCATTCTAAAAATAATTTTAAAACGGTCGTTTACGATCCTCCTGCAGACTGACACATTATCATTGAAATAACCGGCTTTCACGGATTACTATAGCTGTGTGTATATTTTAGATCAGTCATACCGCGTATGAAAGTAATGCTGCCCGTTTAGCAAATGCTGCCGGTCTGCCCTGTCAACAGTGTTGACATGGCACCCATTTGTCAGCATTACTTAATTCGGCAGTCCTGTGCGTTAGAAAATAGATAATATACTTTACTGTATCGTTTTCAATAAGCCAGCGAAATATGGAGATCTCCTGGAGATCTCAATGAAAGGGTTGACTTTAGACGCAAAGCCGGAGCCACCATCTAATAGCGAATATAATGCATCTGTACGTTATCTATAACGCATGCAGAATAACGATATGTGCACCTCTTACGGTTATTTGCTTTCCATACGTTACTGGAGCACAATTTACTCCATTTAAGGACATGTCAGAACTGCTGTCTCCCTGCATTGTGCGGCAGTTTCCAACCCAACAAGGCCGCGCCCTGTAAATTAATCTTGGAAACTAGTCTTTTAACTTAGTCACTAGGAGAATGTCTTTAGTGGCTTATTCTGGTGTATTTCGTGTTTTTATTACTAGATGTCAATAAATGCAGCGTCGTTGCTGGCAGTCTGTTTTAAAGCTAATGTGTATCTATTCTCTTAGGCTGCAAATACTTTTTATATGTCCTTGCTGGTGGTACTGACTAAGTGACTAATTTTAGCTAAGGTCTTGTTATCTGAATGGCAGCGTTAGAAATTATTTAAGTGCCATACCTTGGTGAGGTTTGGGTACCTGTTTGTGGCAGATTGATTTGAGGAGGTGTGTACTGATGAAAGTTCAGCTTTGACAATGGACATCCTGGTGTTTCTGATCCAATGTTAAATAAGAGGGTTAATCGTTGCTTTGCCCTAAATCTATTTTGTCAGTTGTGGCACCACAGTCATTTGGCTTTTGATAGTCCAGCGTTTCTCACTGGTTTTATGTGGTATAAACTTTCAGGGTTCTTTTCCATTCAGGGTTCTGGTGTTATCAAAGCTGGATTTGCTGGAGACCAGATCCCAAAATACTGCTTCCCAAACTAGTAAGGATCACCTTGCATGCAATTGCTGCTCTGACTTGATTTGGTGCCTTGATGCATCCCACACATTGTATCACTGGCCTGTGTGTTTTTTTCCCCAGTGTGGGCCGTCCTAAACACGTGCGTGTGATGGCAGGTGCTCTGGAGGGAGATCTCTTCATTGGTCCCAAAGCTGAGGTAAACTTTATGCATCAGCGCAGTGGAAATGTAGTCCTCATTTGCAGCATTTACTGGTTCTTTAATACGTGATGGATCTCACACACGATCTAGTCATATTTCCAGGTATCAGGGTTGGGACCATTCCAGAATGCATTGATCAATTCCAGTCCAAATCAGGAATTTGAACTGGAGTTGGAACTTAAATCTCCCTGAAATTCAAATTCAACTCCAATTCTGTTCCCCGTAGTTTTTTTTCCAATCCTAGCTCCAGTTCCATTTCCTGATTTGGACTGGAATTGATCAATGCATTCCGGAATGGCCCCAACCCTGCCAGGTATCATATATATGTGACTTGTTGTCGATGCTCGTTAAAAGAAACAGTAGAACTCATAAATTGCGGCATGGTTTATAACAGCACGTTAACAACTATATTATCTTAGTTTTTGTTAGTTTTTTTCCTTTTTTTTCCCAAAAAATCTGATCTCTCTAGGAATCTTCTTACTATGACCAAAATACAATCTGTTATTGCAGCTTGCTTGTTGGGAGTTTATGACTGAATATGTATATAGCAATAATTGGCTTGGTCAGAGTGCTGTTGGTTTGTCTTTGCTGTTAGCCTGGATTCTGCTCTGCTGCAATCATTTAACTGTCATTAAGCGATGTGATGCTTGACAGATGTTTTCTGGTCATTTATTCTTGTTTTATTGTAATGATAGAATAATGACCATGTGGACAAGTGTTATACAATGAGATCGACATTGACATTCTGGGCTTTACCACAATGTAATTCAGTCTCACAAATATGGGGATGATGGTTTACAGGAGCACAGGGGGCTGCTGTCTGTGCGCTATCCCATGGAGCACGGCATCGTGAAGGACTGGAACGACATGGAGCGTATCTGGCAGTACGTCTACTCCAAGGAGCAACTGCAGACCTTCTCAGAGGAGGTGAGTGTTGTGTGAAGAACCCAGGATGAACCAGGGGTAAATCCTGAGTGGGATTCCAGCGTGCCTTGGTGGTTCACTTAACCAAATGTCATTAGATCGTGGGAGCAAAGGTGATTGCTGCAGGGAATCACCTACGAAGAGACCAAGTTGGAAGCAGGAATTGATCCCATAGCCTTGGAGGTGCTTGTTCACTGTGCCACCCTTTGTCTATCCAAACTAATTTTAATTTTCAGCCCTTATTAGTTGCTCGATTAAAGAAAATCTATATACACAGGTCCTAAGAGCTGAGATCTTACCCTAATTGGCTGAATCTCCTGGATCATTTCCCCTCTTAAGCTGCTGTGTCGATAACAGCAGGCAGAGATGCTGATGGACTCAAGGCTGGAGATAACCGTAACAGTTATGGGGGCTTGTGTCAGGATGTCACAATTGTGATATTACCATCTGTTTAAAATTCACAACATAAAGAGAGACAGTGTGCGGCATCATCAGTTCAAAGGCATTATGGGAGACTGATTTCTCATGACTCTGGTGGTGTTTGGTTCTGTGTGGCCTGTTTCTCACGGTGTAACTTCCTTCCCAGCATCCTGTGCTGCTCACAGAGGCACCCCTGAACCCCAGTAAGAACCGGGAGCGGGCAGCAGAGGTGTTCTTTGAGACCTTCAACGTGCCGGCCCTCTTCATCTCCATGCAGGCCGTGCTTAGCCTGTGAGTCTGTGGCTCCGTGTGCCTGTTAGCAGTATATGAAGGGCTGGAGATGCTGCCGTGTTTTCTCAGGCCAGGAGTCGCTACCACTTGTGAGACGTGAAACTTTAGGTCAGGTGACTAGCTGCATATATATTTAGTTATGTAGACCAGTGTTTCTCAGACCTGTCCTAGGGGACGCCCAGGCGATCCATGTTTTTGCTCCCTACCAACTCCCAAGGAATTGGGAGAGAACAAAAACGTGGACCATCTGAAGGACTGGTTTGAGAAACACTGATATAGACCAACTAACGAAGAACTAGATCAAGCAGATCCTAAGTCACTCAGTGACCAGATATTGCACATCCAGTGAAACATCAGTTTCCCTAATGTCACAGACAGCCTGCCGTGACTGCACGGAATGTGTGTTGCTCACAGGTACGCCACGGGGCGGACGACTGGCGTGGTGCTGGACGCCGGTGACGGTGTGACGCATGCCGTACCCATCTACGAGGGCTTTGCCATCCCGCACTCCATCATGCGAGTGGACATCGCCGGGCGAGACGTCTCCCGCTACCTGAGGCTACTACTGCGAAAGGAAGGCTATGACTTCCACACTTCGGCCGAGTTCGAGGTGGTGCGCACCATCAAAGAGGTACGGGGTCTCTGAGTTTTCCTTCAGATAGCCATTGATTTATGCTGGAAGCGTGCTCCTGTCCAGTTGTGCTAGTAACAGAGCAAATCCCGCCCTTATTTCTCAATGGTGTGCACTTGTATCCCTCTGCAGAGAGCATGCTATTTATCACTGAACCCTCAAAAGGACGAGACTTTAGAGACAGAAAAGGCACAGTACACCCTCCCTGACGGCAGTGCGGTGGAAGTAAGTCTGCCCTGTGTGTGGAGACAGGGCCATGATTTATGTCCGTCCTGCACAGTACCAACCTGGGTCTTCTGGCTTTGAGTTTGGTCCTTGGAAGCCTTGCTTGCATCCATATGAGACCTGAGGACTGTCTAACTGTGCCTGGCCTTGTGAACTACCTCAGATCGGACCTGCTCGCTTCCGGGCCCCAGAGCTGCTGTTCCGGCCGGACCTTATTGGAGATGAGAGTGAGGGAATTCACGAAGTCCTGGCCTTCGCCATTCAGAAGTCTGACATGGACCTGCGACGCACGCTCTACTCCAACATCGTCCTGTCGGGAGGCTCTACGCTGCTCAAAGGTGCATGGAGTGGAGTGGCCAACGTGTGGCGTTGCTGGTCTCTCTCTAACACACTTTCTTACTTTTGCCTCTTTGTGGTTCTGTCTCTTATACGGATTGACTGTCCACAGGTTTTGGAGACCGGATTCTAAGTGAGGTGAAGAAACTTGCACCAAAAGATGTAAAAATCAAGGTATTTATAAATATGCTTTTGTCTGCAGGCCTGTTATTTGACCTCTTTTCATCAAGTACATGGTATCGTAAAAAAGCATTTGTTTATTGGACTTGTTGTCAATCTTAATTCACTCATTTTTATAATCCCGTTCTTCCACAGATCTCTGCACCCCAGGAGCGATTGTATTCCACTTGGATTGGGTACGTCCCTGAATATTTTACAAATTATCTTTTTGCTGTGAAGACTTCCAACTCGCATTTCAAATACATACTCATTAAATACGTCGATAGGATGATAAAAGTATCTATTTCCTGTTTTGCCCAGCCGGTAGTCTTGTAAATAACATTTTGAAATTTTTTCCATAAAGCTGTTTTTCGCTAAGATTTCCGAACGTATCCATCATGTCAAGAATAACTTGGTTCTACAGGAACAAAAGTATTTGTTCTTGCATTTGAGTACCAAGTACTGTGATCTGATGGTTGCAGAGGTTCTATCCTGGCATCGCTGGATACCTTCAAGAAGATGTGGGTCTCCAAGAAGGAGTATGAGGAGGACCGGGGTCGTGCCATCCACCGAAAGACCTTCCAGTAGAAGAGGGAGGATCAGAGTCATGGTGCCACTGCACCATCCCAGTACTATATGCCCCGGCCCTGTGGTCCCAGTCCGCCTGTTCCCCCATCATTCCTAGCACCTCCCAGGAGAGACCCGGCCAATCTCTGCAGCCTGGCACTTCCTCATTCCCAGATCTGTTTCAAGACTCAAGTGGTTTGACTGGGCAGTCTGAGATATGCCCACTACTCTCTCCCCACATCTGTGAGGTGACTGTTTTCATCCATGAGAATGTAAGAGACAGTGCATTGTTAGGGGCAAGGCTATACTCTTCACATGCATGTATTTACAATAGCATTTAACTAACCCAATATGATATCATTATATGTTCTAAGAAAAAATAAGGTCTATGATAAACATCTATTGCTCCATGAATTTCATTCCAAAATGGCCAGATTTTTTCTTTTTTTTTTTGTTTTTCGCCAAGCTTAAAAGCACAAGTTATGCTTGCATTGAAATACAATAAATGTATTTTAATACACGTATTTCTTAACAAAGTGTGCTAAATTAAGACAGAGAATATCCCTGCCAGAAAACAATGTCCTTTTTTCTATTGCCATTGCTTAATGCTGCTATATGCCCCCCCCCCACCCCACGTTTACCTGCAGAGCTTGTCTGTCACCCTTAACGGTTGAGCTGGTGAGGCTAATATATAAATGATGGGAGGGATTACTATACTATCACTGCCTAACATGGATGCTGATGAAAATCAACCAGTAGGAAGTGAGTTTAAACGGCATCACATAATCCCACCCACTGTCAGTTTCAAAGCCTTCTCATTTATCATTGCTCTATGTTTTTCCATTTTTTCCCCTACAATCAAACAGATTTATCCTCAGGTTTTCTTCGTGATTCATGTTGGACCGCAGTATAATAAGTTATCACAGTTTGATTGATCTTGCATGCCTCATGTGTTTGTCAGAAACAGAAATATTACATGAATAGTCTCTGTTGGACATCCAGTCTTTTCCTGTAAGTAAAAACCTCTATAAGGCTGGTGAAAGACTGATTAGTCTGTAAACATTAACACTAAGTCTCTGTGGGGACCTTGTGACCTAGTGTTGTGGACAGTAGTGTCCTGTAAAAATGAGCTTTTGGCTCATGTTTTGAGAAGCCTTCTGTTAGCTTTTTGATGCTGGCTTTAGTGATGCCTTAAAGGAAAAGCTTTAATTGGCAGCCATGAAATTTTAAGAACTCAACACAAAAGCTTATATTGCATTTTTTTCTTTTGAATTCCTCCACTTAACCATAACAATGTTAATATAAACTAGGTAGAGGAGGGTATCTTTCATACGTTTATTTAATTAAAAGTGTATAGATAGAATAGTATTGTGATTTAAAATAAGACAAATGCTTTTTTATGCGGGTAAAAGGTGTTTGTCTTTTGCAGGCTGTCTTGTGGATAATTCCCTGGCCAATTTTGTCCAATTCCAGGTTTACTTTGTAAAAGAGCAACTCTCCAGCAGTCTGACTGTATTTCAGTCAGTCTTTTTTTAATAGCATACAGAGTCTTATTCTCCCATATAAACCGTTGCTAAAATACAGCAGGAGGACTGACATGTACAATATGTTGAAGTGTTGCTTGTACTGTTTATTTTGTAAAGTCATCATAATAAAGTTAATGACAGCTGTCTCACTTTTCTGCTCATTTATACAAGATAATTGCATTGTTTATATTGAAATCATATGGCCATAAATGCAAGATCATCTTAAACTTTTGCTCAGACGTTTTTCGGAGGTAAGCATCCGATGGAAAGTGTTACAGAATTAAAAAATTCTCCTAAGACAACCGTAAATTGCGAAAGTATTCAAGGAAGAGATTGAATGACTGGACCTTTTACTGAAGCAGATACCTCAAGCAAGAATAGCAGCGGTTAAGACTTTTTTTCCTTAAGTATAATTCTCTTAACTCTAAGCTTGCAGATAATATCACGGGCATCTTAACATTTCTTTTCAGTACAACATTAACCAGTAATTCTTTCCGTTGCGTCACGGACTGGTCATGCTGCACAAATCAGTCTATCATGATTTCATTCCAGCTGCACCTGATAGGTTGGTTCTGTCGCATCAGCTATTCTGCCTCCATATGATTGGATGAGCTTTAGAATAGCTCTCCGTCTATGATCGCTTATTGGATATTCCTGCCGCGGTGGGCGGTGACCCAATGGATTGTCTTAGAAGCTTTTTTTTTTTTAATCGCCAGTGAGCTCATTTAAGTTTAAAGATAAAACTGTGTACGTGTAGCTAGATTTTTTTTATTTATATTTTATTGATAACAACATAAGCTCCGCACAAAGAATGAGAAGGGTAACGCTCTTCGTTAACGGAACCTCTAAAAATGGCAAGGTGGGTAAAAAAAGCTTGTGGGTTTAGTCAGCACAAACTTTGGTGTCTGGTTAGCTCTAGTAATATTAGCTCCCTTGTCTGAGTTAACCTAAAAACTGTCACGCTGCATATTTCGTCTTGTTATTATAGAAGGCAGATTACTCATTTCCTATAATTAATCGCGGATTAACTAACCTTCATTGTCTGTAATGACTCTGACTTAACCTAAAACCTTTTTTATCTACATGGAGAAGCAATGTTAATGTCATTGTTATGTATGGGACACCCGCGAATGTTATTTTTCGTACTTAAAATGAATTGCCAGTTAATAAGGATCAATGCATTTACACTTTGCTTGCTGCTGATGTGTCCTTGGTTAGTGGCGAATTGCTTATGGCAAAGGGCTCGAAAAGGTGTTTTTAATCATGATTTCCCAGGTGGTGGCGGTCTACGGCACCTTGTCCGACTTGCTGTCCGTGGCCAGCAGTAAGTTAGGGATCCGAGCGACCAGCCTGTACAACGGGAGAGGAGGCCTCATAGATGACATCGCACTTATTAGGTGGGATGGGGGCTGGAGGTGGTGGCAGCAGTTGCTGTGACTGTACTGTAATTGTTTCACTGTTCTTGTACGAAGTATTAAAAACATGTAACTGGTGGGTCGTTTGTAGGTAATTTTCAGCCTATTATGACACTAGTTAGAATTTTCTTCACTTTTTTCCCAGGGATGATGATGTCCTCTATGTATCTGAGGGTGACCCCTTTGTCGGTGAGTTTAGCTTTCTTTTTAGCGCAGAGGTATTCAAACTGCTGGGTGCGCCTTCCTGGTGGGGTGTGAAGGAATTATAGGGGAAGAATCGTGGGGGCAGATGTATTTTGAAATTGCAGCCTTTTGAAGCATTAAAAATAATGATGCTCGTAAATGTCATGTGACACAATGAAATGATTAAATCTGTGTGTGTTGGGCCCTGGGTGGGTCTGTCAGAATATGTTTGAATACCAGTGTTGTTCTGCCACGTTTATATGCGTTGTGAGTCAGAGGAGTAATGAAATGGCCTATTTGCCCTATTATTAGAGTCTCATATCATTAGAGTGTCCCAGTTACCTCCTGTTTCTCGTCAGACCCGCAGCACAGCGTCCGTGGTCCAGAACGGCGCTCCGGAGCTCACACAGACTGGCTGACTCTGAACATTGGCGGCCGCCTCTTCACCACCACCCGGTAAGCAGGTGCCTCGAGAGGCGGAGCAGAGGCGAGTCATGCGAGCTGGCAGCTACTTGAACGTCATCTCCGGTCCATTCCACTGTTCTTTCTTGCTTTAGACCAGGTCATTTCATAATACTGAGATTCTGTTCTATTCCCCGATTCCGACAGGAGCACCCTGGTCAGCAAAGAGCCGGAGAGCATGCTGGCACACATGTTTAGAGACAAAGGTACATCTCCAAATTGATTCTCAAAGAAACGACTCTGAGCTGAGTCAGGCAGAGGGTGGCTCTGCAGGTTAGGACCTTGTGCCTGTGATAGAAAGGTTGCTGGTTCAAATCCCACGGCTGTAAGAGTAATATGGCCCTTGAGCAAGGCCATTAGCCCCAATTTCTTCAAGGACACTGGCTGTCCCAGCGCTCTCATCCTCAGTTGTACATCACTTTGAACTAAAACATAAACTAAATGCATTCACTGCATCACTGATGGGGCTTCTCCATGCTATCCTCCACCTCACAGATGTGTGGGGCAACAAGCGAGATGAGCAGGGGGCCTACCTGATAGACCGCAGCCCAGAGTACTTTGAGCCCATCCTGAACTACCTTCGGCACGGGCAGCTCATTGTCAACGATGGCATCAATCTGCTGGGTGAGTGCAGCCTCCGGACTGCCAGTCTGAGCCTCTCGATTGGCCGTCAGTCCAGCATAGCAGCATCGTCATTGGTGTCTTTCTGATCCCATCAGGGGTTTTGGAGGAGGCGCGGTTCTTTGGAATCGAGCAGCTCGCTGAGCAGCTGGAAGGAGTCATAAAGGTATGGGGGCCTTGTTGGGACATAAAGGGCGAAATGCCACGTTGGTTAGATGTGATTCCAGACGTGAGGGGAAACACTCAAGACTGGACCCTGCATGTCTCTCAGACCATGCTGGCCTAACCTGTCTTCCTGCAGAATTCCCAGCCTGCGGAGGACCACTCCCCCATCTCCCGAAAGGAGTTTGTGCGCTTCCTGCTTGCGACACCCACCAAATCTGAGCTTCGTTGTCAGGTGCTGACAATTTGCCAGGATTGACACAGGCCTACGAACAAAAATTAAGCACTGCTGCATTTGTATTCCATTCAAACTGTTAAATGCAGTATTCAGAGTTTTTCCACAGTGTGCAGATTTATACTTTTTTTTTTTTACAAATAGTGAAGCCCTTAGAATTGTAGTTAAATTAATCTACATATGATCTTCTTAAAGTGCTAGATCTCATTTGCCTCTGAACATGCAATTCACTGGAAACGCCTGTTACTCAGGGTCTAAATTTCAGCGGCGCAGATCTCAGCCGCCTCGACCTGCGGTATATCAACTTCAAGATGGCTAACCTGAGTCGCTGTAACCTCACACACGCAAACCTGTGTTGCTCCAACCTGGAGCGGGCTGACCTGTCTGGGGCCAACCTGGATGTAAGTGATGCCGGGGCGGGGGTGCGATTAGCTTAAGTTGCTGATTTCTCTGCGAAAATTCCTCAACAATTATGACATGCAGCCGTAGCTCGTTACATTATTTACCAGTAAACCAGTTAAAAATTTTATGATATATTCAGGAGCCATAATGGTGACGGCATTATATCTGAAATAGCTTTGTAGTGAGTCATTTTATGCAGAGACTGCACTGTGCTATGAAGATTGCATTGAGCAATTCATAGGGAAGTAACCCTGGTTTTAATTTAACTTTGATTAAGTAGAGTTTGCTTTGGTTGCAGGGGGCGAACTTGCAGGGTGTGAAGATGCTTTGTTCCAATGCGGAAGGAGCATCTCTGAAAGGCTGTAATTTCGAAGACCCATCTGGCTTGAAGGCCAATTTGGAAGGTAGGCCTAGGAATGAAAGGCCACTATTGGATATTATAAAACGTTACTTGGTGATAATTGGTGCAGATGTCTGTGTGCACGCGTGACATCTGCATTCACTGTACACGTGTGCCACCAGGTGCCAACCTGAAAGGTGTGGACATGGAAGGCAGTCAGATGACGGGCATCAACCTGCGTGTGGCGACGCTCAAGAACGCCAAGCTGAAGAACTGCAACCTGAGGGGGGCCACTCTGGCAGGCACTGACCTGGAGGTGAGGGGGTCACCAGGCCTGCCGTGTGATTTAAAGACACGGCGTCACCAGTCATTGAAGGTCAAGAGGTGAACATGTTACACAATTGTTACACAGTGGTTGAAGTTCCTGGGTTGTGTCTTTTGCAGAACTGTGACCTTTCTGGCTGTGACCTCCAGGAGGCCAACCTGCGGGGATCTAACGTGAAGGGTGCCATCTTCGAGGAGATGCTGACCCCTCTGCACATGTCGCAGAGTGTCAGATAACCTGCCCACCTTTACCATCTCACTGTAGCTCCTTCCTGGGACCCTGGCTGGCTAACCCCGCCCCCCTCCCCCTTCATTCCAGCAGTAGGTGTCTGGTAGACTCCAGCCTCTCCCACCAGCCAGATCCCAGGAAACATTATGCAATCGTAGCATTTCTTTACTGTGCTGAACCCTGGCATCCCACCCGGCTCTGTCAGCTTTATTCTCTTGCACTAGGGGGCGCCGGGGTCCTTGTCATTCTTCCACTTCTCATTCTAAACACTTGTTCCAATTAAGAAGACGCAACGCGGCGGCATCCACTGTGACGGGGATGCGTGTCCGTGGTATTTAGCACTTGGCTAGCGGAACGTGCGCACCTGCCGCTAGCTGAGGGATTAGCTGTCGGCCAAGGAGTTGGAGACGCAGTGCGAACTGGAGCTTCCCTGTATACGAAGGACCAACTTAACGGAATGTAATGGTATCGTGTACGTCGACGCCAAACCAGTTAGCATGCTTGGGCAACACATCTTAGGCGTATTACCGTATAAGAATGTAATGGATTCATATAATTAAGATGTAAGATGCAATTGTATATCCAGCTAACGGTTGACGTATGCAGCTTTGAACAGTGTTTATCCTGTGTGTGTGTGTGTGTGTGTGTGTGTGTGCGTGCGTGCGTGCGTGCGTGCAGGATCTTAGGCCAAGTATTGTACAAGTTAAACGCTGCTTGACACGCATTTTCCGGAAGCGTTGAATCTACCTCCCCTTCAGCACGTCAGCCTTGGCTGCCGTGCATTTCACTGACACCACCGCCGGCGGGCTGGCTGACCTGCCGCTGAACCCAGCTTTGGCGAGAGATCCCCCCCCGCCCCCCCCCCCCCCCCCCAAACATACCAACATGACCTGCCTCTTGTGTTTTTCTCACGTGGCTGGTCATCTTGTGTCCCGCCTTGCACACATGTAACGTGACGAAGCTCACGAAGTCATGGCGTCTACAAACCAAATAATACATTGTGATAACATGAAGCTTTTCTTTTCTGCACCAAATACAACGTGGAGGACAGTTATGGGCCGGCACTCCTGTAGAAGAACGTCTTATTGTTACCTGCATGCATCGCACCAAAACATTATCTGCACTATTTCCAGCTGCACACATATATCCACAAACAGTTTTTTATAAGCAATCAATTATATTAATCCAGTTGCAAAAAATAACATTGTTGAATGTGCTTTAGAACATTCCTAACTCCTAAGGGATTGCAGGCCTAGTCCTTCCCAAGCTGTTCCTTACATATTTAAGGATCATCACTACTGGACTGTGACAATGATAATGCAGCTCTGTGTTGCTAAGTTGCTTTTAACGAGCATATGTTCCGCATCTGCGACCTTGTATTAATCTAGAAAACCTTGTTTTATAATAAGTTTCATAAGTGCCAGCGGAAATGTAGCGCTTTAAAGGTGCAGTGACTATTTTTTTTCTTTTCTTAAGGTACTCTTAGTAATGAAGGCTAACAGAATAATCAGCACTATGACCATAGAAGGTTTTTGCATATCCAAACCTCATTAAATGTGTTATTTATTTGAATATGTATTATACCATATTTATATATGCAGGAGTGAAGGTAAATTCTGTCTCAGGACTGGGTGTATGACATCTCCATATGTTCAGTTTTGTGATTAATTGCGCTTCACTCAGCCAAGGAAGAGTGTTTTCCTGAATAGACTGTTAAGAGAAATCAATCCTTGTGTCTGTCTTTCTTTGCATGCAGTGTCAGTCTTCTTCCCTATTTTGTGTGTTAGTGTAGACAGGAATTTGGTGTAGTGGTGTGTTTCGGGTTGCTTTTAGGTTTACTTTTAATTCAGGGTACGATCAATTAAGTAAAAGTGTAGGTTTTAAAGCACAGCTTAATTTGAAAGCTGTGCTCTCTTTATTTGAGCCTTTTGGGCCTTATTTAAATGTACATTTTTTTTTAGAGGTGGACATTTCTGATCCAGAATTTAAAAATCCAGAACAGGATTTTGCTTCAACCAACCAGGTGAGTACTCTGACTGTGAGTCTTTATACTCTGGTATACTGGTTGGTTGAATCAAAATCCTGTTCTGGATTTTTACTTTCTGGATCTGAAATGTCTACCTGCTTATTTTACATACATAATTAAACAGAGGCTTTTGTCTAAAGCAATATACAAGAGAAGCAGATGGCATGTCACAAGTGTACAGCTGTTAAGGAGCCAATTAAGCACAAGTGCAGCTAGGAGAGTTGCCAATGAATGACTAGTAAAAGGTTGGCATCAGAGCAATAGCTATGCAATACTAAAATGAGAGCCAATCAGCCATATCGCTATAGAGAGCCAATGAAGAGAGACGTAAAGTGCGACAGCATTTTGCCAAATTGAATGCCAGATGTGCTGTTGCATTTTTAAATCATTTGTAGTGGTTTGACAGCACAAGCTGGTAACCTTGTCAGGAACATGCAAGAGTAATCTAGTCACATCTATTATTATCCAGTATGTTCCTGATAGACCTTGAGGGAGATGGTGTTCTTGATGCAGACTGTACAGTGATGTCATGCTAAATGGGGTGAGATGATCTTGGTCTTTGAATAAGACCAGCAGCCAACAAAGAAACAGTGAACACCAGGACAGAGCAACAGGTGGCTACAGAGGTATGTTACGTGCTATGAATTTTTTTTTGAGAGTTTCTGTTCCAGGTCTCCACACCACCTTCATGATCCCACCCACATCTTCCTCCTGCGCTTCATACAGTTCATCTCTGCTGGGTCCCAGATCTGAAAAGAACGCCATTCAACCATTCCAGCAGCTCTCCTCGTCGACTGCTGCCATTGACTGCTTGTGTTACTGATTGAGTATTACTTTTTGGTTTTCTGATTCTTACCACACCCTTTTTCACTTTGTGAAGCTGATGTGAAGTCCTGTGACTATCCTACGTGATACTGGTGCTGCTCAGTCGTTTGTGCTAGGAAGTGTTTTGCCCTTTTCTAAGGCATCCTACTGCAGTAGTGATGTCCTGGTTCAGGGCATGGAACTAGGTACTATGATGCTTATACTTCAGAGGGTTTATTTGAAAACGGATGACTTCGCAGGGTTTGTTAAGGTGGCTGTTCGACCACGGCTTGCTGTCTCAGGGGTTACGTTTATTTTAGGAAATGATATTGCGGGAGGGAAGGTGGTTCCCTAACCCTAAGTTATGGCCAAACTGGAAATCAGTCCTAATGACTTAGTGCGTGATTATCCCACTGTGTTCCCCACCTGTGTCTAGGTGGCACTGGAATTAAAAATCCAACATAAGCTCTCCAGCGCTTATTACCCAGAGTCCCTGGGGGCCCTTGAGCGATTTCATCAGTCCTTTAAGAATATGTTGCATACCTATTGTTTAGAGTCCCAGGGAAGGACTGGAACAAGGGTGTGCATTTGCTTTTGTTCTCCATTCAGGATACTATGGAAGAGTATCTGGCTTCAGCCCTGCTGGCCTTCCTTTTGCCCCTGCCTGGCTCATACAGGAGAAAGTGGGTCCCACAGTCTATGTGACTGAAACCCCGGAATGCAGGAGGAAAACCTACATATGTCACGTAAACATGTTAAAACCGTACATCGACCGCCTCGCCTTCCTTTGCTCCTGTCCCGCTCCCCACTGCCGTTGTTAATTCGCCGATCCGTGAATACTCGCCGGAACGCCATCTGCACCTTGGGAAAAATAGCTTGCACTGCACTCATCTGTCGAACTTGGAAGCACTCCAAGCCTTCTCGGCCGGACTCTCACCACCCAGTCAGATATTGAGTCCCTGGTGGATACATTTCTGTCCCTGTTCGCAGACACTCCCTCGTGAACCCCTACCCTGGAGCATGATGTAGATGTTGGCCATCATCCCCTTATCACACGGCATCCTTATGGTGTCAGCTGGAAAAAGAGACGGCTTACCTGTTGGAAACGGGTTTTGCTGACCCCAGTTGTAGCCCCTGGAGCTCTCTGTGTTTGCTTATTCCAAAGCCCAATGGTGCCTTTCAGTTCTGTACAGACTATAGGAAAGTAAAAGCGGTAACCAAGCCAGACCCTTTCCCGCTCCCTAGGATGGAGAATCGTGTGGACTGCATTGGGTCCACTGAATTTGTGACAAAGCTCGATCTTCTTAAAGGTTATTGACAAGTGCCCCTCACTCCTCGTGCTTCAGAAATGGCTGCAATATACTGTTATGTCTTTCGGCATGCATAATGCTCCTGCCACCGTCCAGCGTCTGATGCACGAAGCTTTGGGAGATGTCAAAAACTGTGAAGCTTACCTAGATGACATCTTCTCAGACTTGTGAGATCAGCATAAGCTGTCATTGGAACAAGATTTTACTCGGTTGCAGAAGGCTTTGTTAGTTCTTACTCTGGAGAAGTGTGAATTTGGACAGGGCACAGTGACTTATCTAGGGAAATTGGTGGGTCACAATAGAGTTAAGCCTCTGGACACCAAGGTCCAGGCTAAGGCCTCATTCTCGGTTCTGCAAACAAAATGGGACTATAGATGGTTCCTAGGGATGGCAAGCTATTACCGCTGTTTCTGAAGAAATTTTCCTGATGTTGTATTGCCCTTTTCCCACCTGCTCTGCAAAATTACTCCTTTTGTTTGATCTCCCGATTGTCACCCTCACCCTTTTACTCGCCTTTTAGAACATTTTGAAGTTTACATCGGAGATAGTACCAACCCTGTTATAATTTTTACTGATCACAATCTTATTGTATTTCTAAATCGGATGTGCAATAAATCGGATGTGTTTACAAGACTCTCATTTGGGTATTTTCTACTTAATCTTTGTTAATGTGTAAATGTACAAATTCTCACTGTTTCACAGTATAATTTCCTCAATGCCTATATAAAAATTATTATTATGCTGATGGGTTTCATTCACCACAAAGCTACTGAGAAAGGCAGACATTGAGGTGTATAGATGTGGTTATTTCACATTTCTGATATTAAACAGCAGGAAAACAAAACTATGCTGATCTTGTCAGAGGATATTAATGATAATATTTTGACTAAGAGATGTGAAAATGTAATTCTGCCAATTACTTTGCGGACTGCTCTTTTTCTTCATTTTTTTTTTTTCTTCATAGGTATGTGACACTATCCTCAGTCAGGCTAAGGAGCAGGGGCCTGTACTACGAAGCGGGGTTACTGGCTTATCGGAGTAACTTGTCGGATTTAAGGTAGTCTAGGTAAACTGTAAGTGTACGAATATAAAGTCCATTTAAATTGTGGTACCTTAAATCTGACAAGTTACCCCAATAAGACAGTAACCCCGCTTTGTAGTACAGACCACGGTTCTCTTTTAACAAACACCTCATCAGTGCCTCTCTTTTACAAGCAGACTTGTTCCCAGAACACAATGCAAAGTTCCCAGATTCAGCACTAGAAACCACAGTGGTGGCTCACCCTATGTTGGAAAAGGCCACACTCAAAACAGAATTATCCCTGATCTATGCAAAGTTTGCAGCGGTGCACTGAATTGGTCCAGTTTTTCATGGAGATCAACCTTCAGGGCAGCTTGACTGAGACTGTAAGTCTTCTAAAGATCCTCATCACCACACCCATGACAGCAGAATTAGGGAGGTGTTTCTCCACTTTAAAGATGATTAAGACCTTCCTGAGGAATGCCACGACACAGGATCACCAGAATGCTCTGGCTGTGCTCTCCATGGAGTAAAAACTTATTGGAAAAATTTTGATTTTAGGGTCATTGAGAGGTTTGCCAATCAGAACGACAGAAGGGCCAAATTCTGTACAAATAACAACATAGACACACTCATCTTCCTCTACCCCATTTTTCTTTGCATACAGTTCACATAATTCAGTGATATGTCTCTCTAGAAAATACTAAAACTTTGTCTTAAGGTGTGTGCAAATATTTCTCTTTAAATTTCTGAACCAGACCCTTTCTGTAAGCTTGACTCACACTGTGAATTATATCTGAGCACATTAGGATGTAACCAATGATACATTTCATTATCTGTTAATCTACTCTTTGTTATGGCAATTACATCTCTTGTACAAAGCGTCAGTATCCTGCAGTTTTGTTAAATTGTACTGGGATGATTACTGGGATGGTTACCACAGCACACACAGCCCTACCTAGAATATTTTTCATCAGCCGACCATCTTAAAACCTCGCCTAAAGTCACCCCAGAATTTGCAGCAATCGTCCAATACACATGGATTTTGGATTCGACCACTAGTACACCTCATATAACTCAACACCTCATTGACTTTTTAAACTAAATAAATTGATTAATAAAGTGAGTTGGTTGTGAAATTTAACTACATGAAATGGCTGGGATGCCTCAGCAGAGATTTGGCAACTGAAGCTGTGTTCTTATAGCCATTCAACAAGATACCAGTGACTTTTTGGAAAATAAGATGAAATTCCTGCTAGTTTTTATTGTTACCCAATTTGCATAGCTTCTAATATTCAATTGTGTTTCTTTTTTTTGTTCTGAGAAAATATATACCTCCTGCCCAGATAAATAGCTTTAAACATTTCCTTTGACTGCCAAAGACTTTCGCACAGTACTGTATAGGGTTATATATTTTCCTTATGATTTTTCAAACTGGTACTGCATGTTCGAATGCATGTTCGAAAACATTTTTTTAAATTCAGTAAAATGATCCCATATAAAATCTACGTGTTATTATATTTTAAAATATATATTGCGTTTATAAATATCCAACATCATTAAATGGCGTCTAAAGTTATCTACGGGTGAGCATATAGACGGCATTTCTCAAGAGTGACCTGGTACTTTCAGGCTGGCACCTAGGGATTCCCGACGGCATGTGAATTCTTATAATTGGTCATCCTCTTCCTCTTCTACCTTCAGTATGAATATAGCCATTTTGCGTCACGTTTATAGATATTAACTTTTTTAAAAGATTTAATGTAAACTAATAACATGCCTTTTGAATGAGACGAATCGAAAACTAGAGGGCAAGCGGGAAGAGAACAGCTTTTATGTACAGTAATCATCTCTTATGTCCGCTTAGTTTTCGGAAGTGACTCGAGAGCCGGCATAGTTTGACCCTTTGCAGCTCCCGTCGCGGGAAAAACCCACGCGCACGGTGCACGTTGATGTTTACTTCAGTTACATACACTTCTAGTCGTTTCTGATCACGGATTTATCGAATGTGATATATACAAGCATATCAACATATCACATATCTTGTCTAAGTTAGCTAGCTTAATGTTTGCGCCTCGCTGCCTTTTTCGATTTCTTTTACAGACGACGAGCTGCGTAGCGCCCACTGTTAAGATAGCAGACTTATGTAGCTAGCTGCGTGTTTGAAAGGTAATATGGCAAAGACGTCTAAATGTATTGTTACAAAAAAAGGATAGAACTGCCAGATGAATGATGCAAAGCATCTTAAGGTACTTGATGTAAGTGTTTACACTAGACAAACAGCTTAGAAGAACAGTTATTTTTAGATATTTAACAGGCGTAATATATGTAAACTGTTGTATTTGGAATAGAGTCTTCTTTACTGGTAACTGATGAATTGTTCGATCGTAAATTGATCTCAGTATTCATATAGTACGAGAAGTATTACTGCGTCACAGCAACCACGAAAACACGAAGCGGGGAAATAACGAGGTAGCTAACATAGCGACAGTCGGCGTCAATGCAGCCAAATTCGAAGGTTCGGGTACTTTTTCCAAATGCTGTACAAGAATGCGAGTGGAGATTATCTTACGACGTGCATCTCAAAGAAAGTCAGTTAACTTCTTCTAACTTGCGTAATGGGAAGTGTGACATGGCACAGAATTTTAAAAAGTCATTGCAGAAAAAGTGAGTAGTGACTGTCTCCGTACCCCAAACCGAAACCTGGAACCCAAATCTTCGCTTTCTGTCATCATTTCCTTAAAGCAGCATGGCGTCAGTTAACCAGCACTGTACGTGCTGCTCCCACGACTTGGCAAATCCCAGCGTGCACCAGACACTGGAGGAGATGGAGTTTGAAAGAGGTAAACTATCACACGGAGTAGTCAAACACACATTCAGCAGGAATGCCTTTGCTGCTACCGGCAGGCCCATTACAGTCCATTAAATGCAAAGGCTCCTTTTTTTCATTTAGGCATCTGGTCTGCTGCCCTGGATGGTGACCTTGACAGAGTACGTTCATTCCTTGACAAGGGGATAGACCCTAATATCAGAGACCAGGCAGGCTACACTGCATTGGTAAGCCAATGGCGAAAACAAACTCAATGGACATCCCCCACACCATACATAATAGGTGATGTGTAATTTTAAACACTTGCAGCACTATGCAAGTCGCAGCGGAAGCGAGCGTGTGTGTGCACTGCTGCTCAGCCGGGGGGCGTGCATGAACCCTCGGACCAGAGGGGGGGCCACTCCTCTGCATCGCTCCGCCTACTGTGGCCATGTGGGCGTCGTCAAGCTTTTGCTGGATTCTGGGGCAGATCCCATGTTGTGTGATGACGACGGCACCTCCCCTCTGCACAAGGTAGGCATACTGGGAATCACTAAACGTGTAGACTGTATACTACACCAGTAGATGATGTATTTCAGTTCTCACCAAGAGGTAACCTATCTGAGTGTCTTATTGACCTGTTCACTCCCTCATTCGCCCACTCATTCACTCCTTCGGGTCTCTCATTCTCATTCTGAACGAGACACGGAGGAGTGAATGAGTTGATGAGTGAGTGAGTGTGAACAAGGGAGTCTCTTGTGAACAAATCATTCGCCAGTGTCACACCATTAGTATATCCATCTACATAGATCTTTTTCCTATAGGGTGTCTGTAGTGTTTCGTGGAGGTGTGCAGTGTCTGTAGTGATCTGGATTATTTTCACAGGCTGCCGAACAGGGCCGTGAGGAGGTATGTGAAATGCTGGTGGAACGCTGTCCTTCTCTAAGAGACCTGAAGAACAAGAGATTACAAACAGCCTATGAGCTGGTCCAGCAGAGCACGCCTCTGTATGAGCTTCTGAGACCTACATTGGATGCATGATGATCGACTTACCTCCTGTTTTGTATCAAGTATCATTACAACTTCTGTATCCAGCTTACACATCTGGACGTAGACGGTCCTGGGCAGAACCTACTGAATGTTAGTGTAAGGTTTTGGACAAGGCATCCAAAGCAGGACACCCAGGGGAGGTTGAAGTGAATCCTGGCATGAATTTCATCAATTTGAGGTGGTGGCCCTTGAGCAAGGCCTTTACCACTTGTTGGTCCAAGAGTGCTGGACTCTGGCCGTCCTTGTGCTCTGACACCGAAACATTGCTCTTCCCTGTATATGTGTTGGTGTCTGATGGAGAGAGATGGGATGGAGGAAAACAGTTTCCCCTAATGGAAGAATAAAGTATCACTATTTTAATTTAATGCTGTTGTTTGTGGTTTTGAAAATAACTATTTGAAGGTCAGGAAACAGGTAAAATATTCATGCCAAAGAATAGAAATGCTTAAGATAATATCACTGGGAGGGGCCGTTCATTGTTGTGTACTCTAGACTTGTAACTTTTTTACCAGATTTTTCAAATTTAGGTAATACTTCTTGCCACCACCTGAGGGCAGCAGTCTCCCAATTTTAGGTCTGTTTTGGACTAAAGCTGAAGCAGCAGCAGCGGTTCCCCAGAGGCATGTTTACAGCCACCTTATGCCTGTACATAACTAAAGCTTTAGGGAGCAGACTGCTCTCATAAACACTGGTGAAGCCAATGATACAAAACCTGACCATATTTCCTGTTTGACCGTTGCGTAAGTAAAGTGATAAAGAAAAACACATTTCCCACATGACAGATTTGAAAGCTGTATGGAAAAGGAGCGACACGTATGCTTTAAGAATTCTTTAAAAATATTAGTGTACCTTGATGGAACAAAAGACTAAATTTAAGACTCTCGCCTGGGCCCGGACAGCACGACTGTTACTATGGAGGGGTGGTTGGAAGAAACCAAAGAGAGGGGGGTTGTTCTGTAAGTAACTTTACCAAGCCAGTCTCCTGATGCTAATCAGTGCTTTCTCTGCATTAAGATGTAGAACGTGGCCCACTTGGTCTGTATCCTACATTAAAAATATGTGGGACGTTCTTTACTTAACTGGGTTTTTTTTTTCCATCGTTCCTAGTAACTCTAGTCATTAAAAATTGACTTTGCTGATAATGTGAGAGGCTGATGTTTTCCCTCTTCATCGTTAATCATGGCCGTTCGGCTACATGTAGAAGATGGCCCTGGACCAGACTGCCGTCCCGGCTGAACGCTCAGCTCCTGCAGGCACACGCAGCCATGTGACCTTCTCCTGGCGCTTTAGGTGGAGCCATTCAGAAACCAGCACAGTCATTATGGCGCTTGGACTCGCGTCAGCAGCACTGTGCCGGGATAAAGACTCGTATGTTTTCGTCACATGATGTCCTGGAGATACAGGATTATCCCATCTAATCTCGCCAACATCAGTTGGAAGGACCCTGCTGTATGATGTGTTATATTCCCAATGTGAGGGGGGGGGGGGGGCGTGTCTCTCGGGTGCCTCTATCCAGAGGTTTAATGCAGTTATTTGTGCCCAGTCTCCTCTTGGTTGAAAAGTGGTTAAGGAGTCTAAGCAAGGTTCCACAAACAGCCTTTGGTTCTGATTACGTCTTGATCCATATGCAACATGCTGCAGGTTATCGGGGAGCGAAGGCTAGCTCATCTGCTCACAGGAGGGCTACTGTAGCATGAATTGCTGAAAAGAGAGAGAGGTAATACTCTCAGAGAGAGTCAATATGACCTAAGGGGAACAGATGTCTGAAAAAAATAAGATAAGGTGAAACATAAAGCAGAGATGTGTGTCTGTTAGAGGAGTTAACTTGTGGAATAGTTATGATAGTAATTTAAAAAGGTGTAGTTCATTTACCTTGTTTAAAAATAGGTTTAAAAATAGAGTATTAGAAACATATATAAATCAAGAATGAAAAGAGTGATAACAATACTAAAAGCCTTGGTTGTTTTGCTTTGATGTAATTACTTGTTTTGTAATTGTTTTGTTTTTGTTAAAAAGGTTGGCGAAATAAGCATAAGCTTCAGCCAATACCTTTTGATTAGCTTTGTCCTGTGTTTTTGCTTTGTGGTAATTTTTATTTTGTATTCATTCAGATATTTGAATGTGAATGCTAATCAATAAAATCAATCAATCAAATCAATCAAAAAGTTAAAGCTGGCTGTGACAGAAAGGTGTCAGGTGTCAGGGCACAGTGCATCACAGCTTGCTGTGTGTGGGGCTGCATAACCACGGGCCAGTCAGAGTGGCCGTGCTGACGCCTGACCACCGCCGAAAGCGCCTCCAATGGGCATGTGATCAGCAGAACTGGACCATAGAGCAAAAATGGTTGCCAGGCCTGATGAGTCACGTTTTCTGTTTCTGTTTACCTGGGGAAGAGATGGCACCAGGATGCACTAGAACTAGAATGGGCAGTGGTGGCTTGATGGTTAGGGTAGCGCACTTATAATTGAAAGATTGCAGGTTCGAATCCCCCACCAGCAAGTCACCACTGAGGTATCCTGAGCAAGGTACCGTCCCCAAGCACTGCTCCCCGGGCGCTGAATTAGCTGCCCCCTGCTATGTCACGAAAGTCACATATGGGTCAAATGCAGAGGACACATTTCGTTGTTGGACACTGTGTGCTGTGGTGTGTTGACAATGACCACTGATCACTAAATTCTAATTCTAAATTCTATGGGAAGAAGGCAAGCCAGCAGAAGCAGCATGATGCTCCGGGGAATGTTCTGCTGGGAAATGTTGGGTCCTGGCATTCACATGGACGTTACCTTGACATGTACCACCTACCTAAACATCATTTAAGATCAAGTACACTCCATGGCAAAGTGTATTCCCGATGGCAGTCGTCTCTTTCACCCTGCCACACCGCAAGAATTGTTCAGGAATGGTTTGAAGAACATGAAAAAGGGTTCAAGATGTTGACTTGGCTCCCAAACCTCAGTCCAATCGAGAATCATGGAGGCTCCACCTCACAAGATACGGGACTTAAAGGATCTGCTGATTACGTCTTGGTGCAAGATACCACAGAACACCTTCAGAATGTTTTGTGGAGCCTACACAATATTAGGCGGGTGGTTATAATGTTATGGCCGACCGTTGTATGTAGCAATGTAATTAGTCAGGTACCATACATGAACCACATTGCTTAATAGCTAATTTGGCTAAATAGGCTAAAATAATTACCGAACTAGGCTTTGTTTACCATTTAACTAATACGGTTAAAGCCGTACAAAGTATGTATATACTTTCATGTATTATCGAGATGAAAACTGCAGACTCAACGCATGCATGGTCACCGCGCCAGTAAACATCTTTCCTAAGCGCTCATTTCCTTATTATCCGCAGCAGTACCAGCAGACGCTTCTCCATAAGGACTTCACATGCCTAAGAAGTTGAAACACTGCCCTAGCCTGGCTAATAAACAACATCTGCGCGTCCAAATCAATGTGCAGGAGCCAAGTGCAGATCGCCTCGGAACTAACCTCATGCACATGGGTCTCGCATAGCTATTATAAACAAGGCAGTTATTAGCAGTTTTGCCGTTCGCCATAGCTCTTTTACGATTTATGTTTAGTTACTTTATTATTTTATCCATTTTTCTTGAGAAGTGAGGAACAGGCGGGCTTTGTTCGCGCATCCTGAAAGCTCTTCTTGTTCCCCCATTATGGGACGGCCCCCGGGAGGATTCGCTTTGGGGTGCCTGGCTGTTGCCAGTTTGAATTTCTTGCCACAGCTCCTCTAAGCTGTGCTTTAAATTCCTTTTCCTGTTATTTAAAAGCGAAAAGCCTCCTTGACCTGCACCGGACTGGTATCCCTTACAGGGTGTACCCTAGCTCTGCGCCTTGTGCTGCATGGGATTGGCTCCAGCCTCAGACCACATGGACCTGAACCGGGGGATGATTATTCACTGTGAAAGTCTTATAAAAACAATTAGCAAACAGCTGGTTTCCCCCAAAGAATCAGGTTCACTGTTAAGTGACTTGAATTAGGTGGGGCTGCTCTGTTATAAGTCGTAATCAGGGACTTAGCCAGAAATTCTGAGCCACCTGACAAAATGTCCCCCACCATAGAATTTTTCTTCCACATTTAGGGGCCCCTATATCATGCTGGGCCCCCTAAATCTGAGGATCCATGGCCCTACTACTGATCCACCAACATCTGAACCGAAAGTCATCGACTGCATGTGGAGATGCATTCTCTGCCATATTCCAATTTGCGCCAAAATGTCTGCCACTCTGTATCCACCCTCCTGATACCCCCATGTGACAGCTCCATTGTATCTTGCGGTCGTCTCCAGCTCACCGCCAGCGAAAATGGCACCACCCCTGATTTAATAAGAAGGTCTCGTAAATACACCCTCGCGTCTCCCGGTCGCTTTCATGCTCTTAGCTAAATTCAGTCAATGTGGTGCGTCAAAGACATGTGTCGTCGTCTTATTAAATAAATTGTGTGTAGAGAAAGCACCCTGTGTTCTGTGGCACATATTTATCGTGGTCATGGTTTTGAAGAGCACCACCCCCTGCCCCCCACGTATCATCTTTAAATTAAATGATGCTTTATTTACGCAAGTACATTGTAGGTCTTTAGTTTTTGCATGTGCCACCATGCTCTCCTTTGAGACATGCATACAGTTGAGAGTGAGGATTGGTGAATGTATCTGTTCTGCTAGAATGGGACTCAAACCAGCCACCCTCTGATTACGTGTACAAATGTGATATTCCCCGTCCGGAGTGTGTACGTCTTTAAGATTGGTCAGTCAAACCGTGATGGGGTGCTTTGGAAGACGAGATGGCTGCTTTAACAGCTGTGCAGTGACGGCAGTCTAGAATTACATTCTTGGACCCAAATCTCCCTATGGAGCGCTACAGTGGCCATTGACATTATATCCATCCACCTTCCAAGCGTTTATGCACTGGGTCACGGTGGGAGGCTCCATTCCAGCCAGCAGGGGGCACCTCTGGACACACGCCATGGGCAGTTAAGAGACGTCGGTTCACATCGCCGCTATGGACTATGGGAGGAATCCAGAGTACCTTGCGGGTGGAGTGAGGCAAGGGCGCCCCCCATTGGTGGGCTGACTGTCCTTCCACTGGACGTTCAGCCAATCAGAACCAACAGCGGGGATTAGTGACACACAAATGAACAGTCCTGACAGTTAACAAGCTGAGGAGCAATGCAGGTACAGTAAGTCAGACCTGATGAAATCATATCACATTGAGATTAGAAAGATTTGCAAAGAAATAAAAATAGAAAAAAAACCATACCCCACTGGGAGAATATGTAGACTCCGCACACAGAATACAGGTGGAAGTCAAATGCTTGACCCTATAGATGTGAGGCAGCTGCACCC